CCGGGGATAAATATGTGCACAGTTACATAAATCCAAAGTATTTTGGAGGGGCAGCACTAACTACAGGGAAGATCAGGAAAAGACTCATGGAAGAAGAGGTTCTTAAGCTGAACCATAAAGGGAATTAGGGATTTCAAGAGACTGAGGTGAAGAAGAGCAATTTAGGCATGGAAAGGTCCACAGGTAGAAGATGGAATGTCATGTAAATGTATCATCAAGTTTACTATGCAGTAACCTGAACAGCATTATAGCAAGAAACAGGCGGTTTAATTATTTGCTCTCAGTTTTTTGCTGGTTGAATATGTCTGTGGATCAGACCTCATCCATAGCAGGGACCGATCTTTATACTAAACAGAAGAGATGACTTCCTGGTGAGATCAGAAAGACTCTAATGTTAAATTTGTTATTGGATGTCACAATAAGTAAGGATCAAGTCTGAAAACAGCCTATGAGACCTTATCTCCTACTATTCCCCAATAAGAGGCCTCTGTTGCAGTTTAGGGTGGTCTCCTCACTTTGTCATACACTTGTCATCCCCTCATTTCCACCTCCAACTTCTTGCTAAATCAATGATAGTAACAGCTTAAAATGATGTCCTACATGAGTATTATTTTGAGGGCAATGGACAAACACATAGATAATGAACTATGGGGAAAAATAGTATAGGATGTCATCAAAGAAATGTATGATGGAAAAAATGGTAGGATAGTCATGTGGTAAGAGATAGGTGTAACTAATGGACTGCCCAGATGCTCCACTGGTGTCCTCAAGAAGTCAAGAGAAATCCAGAAAGCCTCCAGGCATGTTGGGTAGACTTCTGGTGGTGAATTTATGTAAGGATGTGGACAATAATCATGCAGGATGGGTAAGCATGAATGGGTTTCCATCCAAACCATTGGAGGAGCAACAAAAACATAGATCAATTTGAGCAAGATAGAAAGGGAAAAATAATTTATATGTTGTTACTTTGTTTTAGTTTCTTGCATTCCAGCTCTCAACGAATGCTAAAAATAAAGGAAAAAATAAATGATGCCAAATGATCCTCATTTACTTTTCTGACTAAACAAAATAAAAAGAAAGCTAGAGAGAAAATTCAGCTAGATTTTAGAAAACATTTTTTTTTGAGTTGGGCAATGGAGTTAAGTGACTTGCCCAGGGTCACACAGCTAATTACTGTTATATGTCTAAGGCCAAATTTGAACTCAGGTCCTCCTGAATCTAGGGCACTGCGCCACCTAGCTGCCACCTAGAAAACATTATGATAGAGCATTTTATATACTACTGTGGAAAATAGAGAGATATGGGTTAGATGATAATAAAACAGATATCTTCAGAACTGGTAGGATGGCTAGAGTCAAAGAGTAGCTATTAATGATTCAATCTCAATGCGTCCTCCAGTGGAATATCTGAGGGATTCTGCTGCTTAACATTTTGTATCAATGACTTCTATAAAGGCATTTGATGATATGTTCAACAAATTTATGGATTACCCAAAGCTGGGAGGGATAGCTAACACAATGAATGATGAAGTTAGGATCCATAAGGCTCTTGACAGGCTAGAACATCGAAGTAAACTTAATGAGATAAAATTCAAAAGGGATGAAAGCACTTGTACTTGGGTGCAAAAAGAAATCAACATCACCAGTACCAGAAGATCTGGGAGTTTTAGTGGACCACACCCACAGTATGAGACAGCGGCGATAAAGACCAAACAAAAAAGCTAATACAAATCTCAGGCTGCATTAAGAGGAGAGTGGGTTCCAGGAATAGGGAAGTGAAAGTCCTACTGTACTCTTTCCCCATCAGACTCCATCTGTTTGAATTCTGAGCACGACGATTTAAGAAGGATGCTGGTTAGCTGGAGAGTGTACAAACGACGGCAACCACAATGGTGGAAGAGCCTTAAGCCCACATCATATGGGGATCAGTCGAAGGAATTGAACATATTAGGTATATTCAGCCTGGAAAAGAGAGCATCCAGGAGAGATATCAGAGATGTGAAGTATTTGAAGGGACTGTCATGCAGAAGAGGAAGTCAACTTGTTCTGTCTGGCCACAGACTGCAGAGCCAGGAACAATGAATGAGTGGAAGATATAAAAAGGTAAATTTAGGATTATTGTGAGGAGCACTCCCAAAGTTCAATGGACTACCTTGAGAGGTGGGGCATCCCCATTCCTTGGAGGTCTTCCAGCAAAGGCTGAACAAACATTCATTGGATATATTATAGTGATGATTCTCTTTTTGGATTGGACTAGTTGGGTGCTGAGATCTCTTCCAGCTCTCAAATTCTGTAATTCTAAGTTCTGCAAAATGAGGCTAAGAAAGAAAAGGTGAAACTAAACTTCTGAGAGCCTTAAATACCAGACTGAAGAGTTTGTGCTTCATCTTCAAGACAATGGGAATCACCAAAAGTTTTCTGATGTGGTCAAACCCATGCCTAAGTAAGAGTATTTTTATAGCAATTAATGGATTGGAGAAGCAAGGAGACAAGTTAGAAAGTTATTGCAATAATTTAGGCCAGTGGTTTCCAAACTTTTAGAAAAGATGACCTCATTAATAAAATATTTTTGACATGCAGCCCTACCTAATATGTATACATTTGTCTATTTATAAATTATATACATGTGCTACTGTTCAAATATTATACATATTAAGAGACACAAAATAGAGACTTCAAAAGGATTAGATAAAGATACATTAATATTTGACCTAAGAGTTAATAGGAAGTCACAAAAGTTTATTGAGTAGGGACATGACATGATCAGACCTAGCTGTTAGGAAAATAACCTTGGCAGCTATACATAAGCTAGATTGAAAAGAGGAGAGATGAGATAGGGAGACCAAACAGGAGGAGATTGCAATAGTCTAAGTGAGAGGTGACAAGGGCCAGAACTAGTGCTACTATTGTGTGAGTAAAGAAGACGTGCGAGAGATGCTGCCAAGGTAGAAACTAAAAGCTGACAATGGAGTAGATATGTAGAGGGAGGGAGAGGGAGATGAGGATCACCCAACTGAGTTATAAGCCTATCCATGCCTCCTTATTGTGTGTGACTCACTCTCTCACCCAAAACAAAAGGGAGAGGATCTTAATCACTGGTCACTGCCTCTAGAATACGGAACTCACCCTCCAACGGGCCTTCCCCAGGCACAATATGATGGATCCAGCAAAGGAGCATGGGGAGTGGTCAGACAGGTAAGTAGACAGCCAGGATGGAGCAACGTTATGGTAATCAGGGGAAGAGAGTGTATTCAGTTTGAGGATCAAGGGGATAGGGAGAAAAGAAGAAAGGAAAGACAAAGAGAAAAAACCAGCAGTGTCAAAAGCTTCATAGAAGTCCAGGAGAACAAAAACTGAGAATAGGCCATCAAGATTTAGCAGTTAAGATATCATTAGCAACCTCGGATAGAGCTGTTTTCACAGCCTATCTGGGTTGGGAGTCAGATTGCTATGGATTAAGAAGTGAGTGACTGGGTTAATGCTAACCTCTCTTACATGAAGGCTTTGCTGATCCTCCTCCCAAATGTTCTCCTTTTCCTCTAATTTTCCTAGAACACCTTGGATGTCTCTTATCTTTGTAACTCTTTACCCAGCATCATAATTATTTGTGGGCATATTATAGAATGAATGCTACTTAAGGGTGTCATTTTTCATCTTTCTATCCTCAATGCTTAGGACTACATCTTGTACATATAGTAGATACATTAAGTAATGTATGGCTGAGGAGCATTAATTAGTAAAGATCTGTGGAACTAAATCGAATTATAACATGAGTTCAGCCATCTGCACATCCTATGAAAATACTTCATACTCACCTTTCTGTGGTCCATTCTAAACCATAGGATGATGTTTCTAAGAGAAGATGCTCACTCTACAACTTTGATCTCTGCTCTGTTTCCAGCCCTACCTGCAAGTAAATGTTGCATTTTTCCTCCAACCTCCCCCACGGGTAATTTGAAACTCTTCCTATTGCCCTAACTCCTTCTCTTTGGGGGATAGAGTATGAAGACAAGCTCAGAAATACAGTCCAAATGATTAAGCCTATATTCCCAGGGTGGGTATTGTGTGTATTTGTGCACATGGAACACCTGCCAGGATCAACAGAGACCCTCAATTATAATTGCTTTTGCTATTTCCTGGGGAAATGCATAGTATTCAAATGCCTCCCACACTCTATGTAGTTGAAACTGAACGTCTTTAACTCCTTTAAATTCAGCAAACATTTATTAAGTGCTTACTATGTTCAAGACACTGTCCTAGACACTGGGGATATCAAGATGAAGTAATTTGTAAACTGAGGATGTTTACGATCTATAAAAAGATAAGGCATATAAACGAGTAACTATAGTAAATTAGAATGTGATGGGTGCAAAGGAGAGGGCCAGAGATGATTCTGGAGCTCAGATTTGAGGAGGGACAGATCCCTTCCATCTAGGAGAATCAGGAAAGACTTCACTGAGGAGGTGGCATCCAAAGTGTACCCTGATGTTAGCAAAGGATTTGAACAGATGGAGATGAAGGTGAGTGTATTCCACAGAGATGGAAGAAGGCAGAATGAATCAGGAATTGTTGGGCAGATGGGAAGAATTGTATAACACAAGGCAGGAAAGGGAGGTTGGAGCCAAAATGTGACATCTTATGTGTCGGTTAAAGAGTTTGTATGCAATTTGGGAGTCAGAGGATCAAAGATCCAGAACTCAAAGGACCTCAGAGGATATCTAATCCAGCCTTCCCATTTTTACAAATAAGGGAACTGAGGCCCAGAGGATTGACTGATCTGTGCATTTACACAGGTAGTAAACATCGGGGGATTTGAACTCAGGTCCTGTAGCTTCAGAATCATCCTTCTCATTGAAGGTGCTGCATTTTCTTCTGCTTGTTTTTAAGTAGAGAGTGATAGAGCAGAGAAGTGAATTTGGAATATCAGTCAAACAATGGTTACTTGGAGACGGCAAGAGACTAGAAGAAATCTGAAGCTTGGGATTCTATGGGACTGAGAAAGAAAGACAGAGGAAGATGTCTTATATGAAATATTTCCTCTCTACTGCTCCCTACTGTCAGCACACCCTGACAGGAAGTAGGTGATAGCAATTTTGGATGAAGTAGGATGTATTTGGAAGTATCGGGATGCAATCAGAGTGTCGTGGAGTGTAGTCTGAGATGGTTAACGGCTGGTCTGAGTACTGTGAGCAGGGCAGTGTGAAAGGAGAGATAGTTGAGTTTATCCAAGCTATGCATTCCATATGGTAGCAGAATGTGAAGAGGAAATACTGCGGTTGCAATGAGTGTGCATGTTGGAAACAGCCTGACAGGTCAAAGTGAGAGTGAGAAAGTATAAAAGCTAGAGAATTTAGTATCCCAGGGCTTGTCATGGGGCTCTTTGCCCTGCATAGTAATGTTAGCATGTGCATGGTAGCAGGTCATATGGTCTGGTTGATAGCACCTGCCCACAACATGCACCAGTATAGAACAAACAATAATGAGTCCATTAACAACGCTTCCTAAGTGCCTGCTATGTGCCAGGAAATGTGCTAGGAAGGCCCTCAAGGAGGTTACATTCTATAGAGAAAGACATATATATTTATACAAATATATAGAAAATAAATACAAGGATAATACGGGGAGGGGTGGCAAAGCGCTAGCAGCTTAGTACGTCAAGAAGGATTTCATATAGGGGCAGCTAGGTAGCACAGTGGATAGAGCACTGACCCTGGATTCAGGAGGACTGAGTTCAAATCCAGCCTCAGACACATAACACTTACTTAGCTGTGTGACCCTGGGCAAGTTACTTAACCCCATTGCCTAGCCAAAAAAAAAAAAAGAAGTTTTTCATATAAAAGGTAGAACTTGTGTGGAGTTTTGAAAGAAAGTGGGGATTTTAAGAGGATTCTCCTCCTCATTCTAAGAATGAGGAGAGCTGGGGCAGCTAGGTGGCACAGTGGATAGAGCACCCCTGAAGTCAGGAGGACCTGAATTCAAATCCAGCCTCCAGCGTCAGACACATAACACTTCCTAGCTGTGTGACTTGAGGCAAGTCACTTAACCCCAATTGCCTCACTTAAAAAAAAATAAAGAATGAAGAGAGAATACATTTTAGGCATGGGGAAGAGCCAGGGCAAACTTACACAAACGTACTGAGATAGGAGATGGAACGTCTGTCATGTGAGAAATGATGAGAAAGCCAGGTTAACTAGACCATAGAGTGAATGAAGGGGAGTAACACAGAATAAAGTTTGGGGCCAGGTTATGAAAGGCTTTAATTAACAAGTGGGAGATTTTGCCTGACACAATTTATGTGAATTTTAGGCATTGAAACTCATCTTTGGGTTTCTGGTTCCGAAGGAGAATGCCCACGGTAGAGGCCATGGGGAAGCATGTACTGAGTGGCTTAACAAAAGGAGACTGGGAAGCTATTGCAACTAAAAAAAAAACTTTTTTTTAATTTTTAAAAAACAGCGAATACAGACTAATTCATATCAAGGCTTGGGCAGTGGGACCAGTTCTGCTGGATCTACCAGTTTCCTTCACTGGGTTTACACATCAGCGCTTCTTTGCTGCAGTTCAGTACAAAACTTAGTCATTGCTGCCACTGCTACATTTCCATGGTAATGAAAATACCCAGGGACATAGCTAGGTCCCTGCGCTGTTTCCCTTGCCTGGGCCAAACATTCAGTGAAATCAACAGGAGCCCAACGTGGATAGAAGCCCAGGAACAGAGCCCCTGTTCTCAGCCGGAGCCCCCAGAGGTTTTCTCATGGAACTCCCATTAGCACTGGCAGGCACTGCTGGTGTAAATCACTGCATGGCGCAAGATGAGAATATAGTTATTATAACAATTGCCGCATTGCATGATGCTCATGCCATTCGGAAACGTAGGTCTAATTAGCTCTAAGCTGTAGAAGATTTGAGTGTGGTCGTTTCATTTTGGCTTAATGCTCGGTGCCTGGTGTAAAATCTGAATTTATTACACTTTTTTTAATCATTTCTGCATGGCTCAACCAGTCGTATCAAAACTACTGCATGTTATAGACTTTAAAAAGCGATTCCCTGTAGGCATTTTAAGGTATAGGATCTATTATGGGAAGATATATATTTGACAGCGCTCTGTTTATTACTCAGTTCTGCTACATTGTTCATGAACCCAGTGAAAGATGTTCACAGTGGTAAGTAACACTTTATTCCATGAAGAAGAAACACAGGGCAAGTTCCTTGGGTAAGTACCAGGATCTGTATGTGGTGCAATTACAGGACTGATGAGAAAATGCTTCACACATTCCATCAAGACACTCAAACACAAAAGAGACTTGCTTTAGTGCTACAAATCCCCTCAGATTTAACTCAGATTTTTTTTGATTTTTTTTTCCATTAAAAGTAGCACAGTTCTGTACCAGATTCTCTCTGCTTTATTTCTGAACATTTTTAGGAACACATCTTACCTCCCAATATCCCTCTTCTCCCAGCCCCAAAGGACACTTAGAGGACAGTCATTTGGAAGGGAAGAGGTAACAGAATTGCCCAAGTCGCTTTCTATTAACTTGAACCACAGCCCCCATAAGAGATGAACCAATGATTTTGGGGTCTCAAGGTACAAGGCTTCGGGTGAAAAAAAGGAATATCAATTTGAGAAAGCTAGGTCTCTCTCCATTAAAATAGGCATTTTCATAGAAATTGCCATGGAATCTATAGGCACTGATTTATAAGATACAGGGACAGCAAGTTGGTGCAGTAGATAGAGTGCCAGGCCTCATCTTCCTGAGTTCGAATCTAACCTCAGATACTTACTAACTATGTGACCCTGGGCAAGTCACTTAACCCTGTTTGCCTCAGTTCCCTCCTCTTCAAATGAGCTGGAGAAGGAAATGGCAAACCACTCTGCCAAGAAAACCCCATATGGAGTCATGAAGAGTTGGACATGACTAAAAGTGACTGAACAACAATTATAGGGTATGTTTTTCTTCCCTCACCCCCACCACCAACAAAGTACAGATCTTTTTCTTTTTTCTGTGTCTTTTGACCATGTCATAAGACTGAAAATTTGAGGGTCCAAGATCTACAGCATGTGCTGCTTCTAAAGGTCGCTATTCAAATACAGTAATAAAAGAGACCTTAGAAATAACAAATCATATATACATGTATATACACATACATATATACCTATGTATACATTATACATTCATACGAAATTAATATGAGGCAGTTGGGGGAAGGTAGGACACTAGCAATTAAGAGGATCAGGAAAGACTTCATGAAGAAGGTACTTCTCAAGTTGAATTTTGAAGGAAGCTAGGGATTCTGAGAAATGGAAATCAGGAGAGAGTGCATTCTAGTCCTGCATGGTGGAGTGGAGAGTGTGTGAGGAGCACACTAGCCTACTTAGATCAGTATGGCTAGATCAAAGAGAGTGTAGATGAGAGAAAATATAAAAAGAGTGAAAAAATAAGAAGTAAACAGACTACGAAGATATTCAAACACCAAACGGAGGAGTTTAAATTGGATCCCAGAGGCAATAGGGAACACTACAGTTTATGGAGAAGGGGAGTGACATAGTCAGAGCTGCCCTGTAGGAAATAGTTATGTAGTAGATGGATCGGAGTAGCAGAAAGGCTTGAGGTAGGGACGACAAATAAAAAGCTATTAATAGATAGCACTAATGTGACGTTTCAAATCTCATTTATCTATCGTAAGATTTTGTAACAATCCAGGTAAGAGTGATGAGGGCATGAATTAGGAGAATGGCTGTGTGAATGGAGAGAAAGGGGCATAAAGAGATGTCTTAGAGATAGAAATTATAAAATATGGCAACCAATTCAACATGTGGGGTAAGAGTGAAGAGTCAAGGATTATACAGAGGTTTCAAAGCTGGGTGCCTGGAAGAATGTCCTGGACCAGGAGCAAGGAACCTGCAACCTCAAGGCCACATGTGGCCTTCTAGGTCCTTGGGTGTGGCCTTTTGACTGAGTCCAAGTTTTACAGAACAAATCCTTTTATTAAGGGGATTGGTTCTGTGAAGCTTGGATGCAATCAAAAGGTTGCACTTGAGGACCTAGAAGGCCACATGTGGCCTCAAGGCAGCAGGTTCCCTACCTCTGGACCTAGACAGAACTTGGGAAGTTCACAAGAGAGATTAGTTTCAATGAAAGATAGTGTTGGGTTTCAGACGTTTATGGGACATCCGTTTGGAAATACCCATTAGGGAGTTTATGAAGTAGGACCGGAGTTCAGTAGAGAGACTGCAGCTGAATATATAGGTCTGGGGTGCCAAATATTTGATGCCATGGGAGGCAACTGTCATACAGATGGTAATTGAACTCATGGCTGGTAAGGTCTCCAAGTGTGAAAGTATACCCTATTGAGAAAAATGAGAAGACTCAGGATAGAGGTATGGGTTGTACCCACAGCCAGTGGGTGTGACGTGGTTGATCAGCAACTAAAAAATTGAGGAGAAGCAGCAAGAAAGAGCGATGTCATGAAAACCCAGAATGGAGGATGCATCCAGAAGGAGAAGCTGGACAAGAGGGCCAATGCTACAGAAAGATCAAGGAGGCTGAGGATTGGAAATAGGAACTTAAATTTGGCAGTTGAGAGATCATCACTAACTTTGGAGTGAGCAGTTTCAGTCCAGTAATGAAGTTAGAAGCCAATTTGCAGAGAGTTTAGAAGACAATGTAGAGGAGAGGAAGTAGAATTTCCAAGTACAGATAGCTTTTGGTAAGACTAACTTTATAAACTTTATATATAGAAATATTTATAGTAGTACTTCTTGTAGAAGCAAAGAGCTAGAAGACAAACAGAAGTCCACTGGTAGAGGAATAACTGAATAAGCCATGATATACGAGCATAATAAAGTATTATTTCACGGTAAGAAAGGACAGACATGAAAAATTCAGAGAAACTTGAGAAGACTTGTACAAACTGATACAGAACCAGTAAAGTAATTTACATGATGGTCACAATAATGAAGAGGAAAAAATTATCAAAAAACTTCAAATACTGATTGATACAGTGACCAATCCTGACTTCAGAGGACTTCTGGTAAAGTATGCCTGCCTCCTCTGGCAGAGAGCTGGTGGGTTATAAGTAAGAAATAAGCCACACATTTTTGACATGACAAAGTATTGATTTGTTTTACTTAAGTGGCCCTTTTTTGTAACAAGGGAGGGTTCTACTGGGTGGGGAGTAATTGGCTACCTAGAGCAATGTGTGTGGGGTTTTTAAGAGCATCAATAAAACATCTATAACCACCACTAGCCAGGGGTTGGCTGGCCACAAAACCCTCTGAGATTTGTAGCTCTTATTTGGGAAAAGAGGAGATTAGTGGGAAATCAGACCTCACAGAGAGAGTGGTTTCCACTCACCCAGTGCTATGATAGAAATCTAAGGAGAAAAAAGAAGAGAAGTGGCCATGGGTGCTTGCACATTAAAAACCAAAACAAAGCCAATCCCCTAGATGTGGCCTCCCGAAATTGAAGATGTGCTGACTCTACTTGCAGCCATCTGCAGTCACCTGTCCTCCACTTCTGCAGAAGCAGGAAGCAGATAGCCAGTTCATTTTAAATGGTAGCTGGGAGCAAGCCAATGGATACAGCAGACTATATGTTCAAAGGATCAATAGAGAATCAGCAGCACCCAGAGAGCTTTCAGGAAGAAGAGCTCGGTGTTCCAGTGTCTGTCTGTGGCTATTGTTCACTCATTTCAGTCATGTCAGACTTCATGACCCCATTTGGGTTTTTTTGGCAAAGACACTGGAGTGGTTTGTTATTTCCTTCTCCAGCTCATTTGACAGATGAGGAAACTGAGGCAAACAGGGTTAAGTGACTTGCCCAGGGCCACATGGCTAGTAAGGATCTGAGGCTGGATTTGAACTCAGGAAGATGAATCTTCCTAATTCTAGCCCCAGTCCTCTATCCACTGCACCACCTAGCTGCCCCCTAGTATCGTTGGTGCTAACACATTTCAAGATCTCAGTGTTCCCTTTCCCTTTGCTCTTCCTAGGGTTTCTTATGATTGAATACTACAAAGCCTCATCATAATGCTGTCACATGGTGGGGACCAGCATATTGTTGAGACCATGTTTCAACATGTGCTCAGTGGTACCGGGTTCCAAAGAAGGCCTTTTGGTACTGTCAGAACATAAATACCTTTGGGTATAGTTTAACACAAACCCATATTATACCAAAGCTTTATAGAGTCAATGTGAATATGGAAATATGTTTTATATGACTTCACGTGTTTAATGGGTATCCTATCACTTGTCTTCTCAATGGGTGGGGAAGGGATGGAGGGAGAGAATTTGGAACTCAAAATTTTTAAAAATAAATGGAAGGAAGGAAGGAAGGAAGGAAGGAAGGAAGGAAGGAAGAAAAAGAAAGAAAGAAATAAAGAAAGAAAGAAAGAGAGAGAGAGAGAGAGAAAGAAAGAAAGAAAGAAAGAAAAAAGAAAGAAAGAAAGAAAGAAAGAAAGAAAGAAAGAAAAAAGAAAGAAAGGAAAAAAGAAAGAAAGAAAGAAAGAAAGGAGTCAATGTGGCATAGTACAAAGTGATACTGCCTCTGGAGTCAGAAGGCCTGAATTCAAATCCCATCTCTGATACTTTCTGCCTGTGTGACCTTAGATAGGTCATTTAACCTCCCTGGGCCTCAGTTTTTTCATCTGTAAAATGAAATTAGAGGGTTGGCCTCTGAGGTCCCTTCCAGACCTGTATCTGTGAATGGATAAGTGGTAACAAATTAGACACTGTAACAGACATTACAGTATGCTCAAAGGTACCCTGGTAGCCTAAAACAAACAAACAAAAAATTAGTATACCTCTCTCAGTGCCTGGCTTACTGACCTGGGATATTTAAGCAAAGGGGGAAAATCAATATTTTGCTATTCACTGTACCAACATTCTCATGGGAGAACTAGTGAGAGCCATCCAGGACAGCAAAATGCCTCAAATGAGGATTTTCTGAATTCATGTCACATTCATGCGGTTTTCCCATTAAGGTCAGCTAGGCCTAGGGCCTTCATCTAATGGCCAAACTGCAGAGCAGGAAAGGTAGATGGGGATGGGGGTAGAGAGGAATTAAAATCTGCAAGAATCAATAGCCAGCTTTAAAACCCCAAAGCTCACTGAAATCACATCTGCATTAGGTCTTTCTTCCATTCATCTCCAAAAGCAGCTCCCCAATTTCCCACCTTCCCTAAGAGGTACGCTGTGGTTGGGGAGGGGGAGGGAACAGTGCCCATCATGATTTGGAAGAGTCTCTTTTGCCTTATGTAAGTACATTTGCATCCACAATCAGTTGTTAACATTCAAAACCAGACTGAAAGGGGTCCAAAAAGTCATTTCTTTGGTGGGAGGTGTATTTTTTATCATTGAATTTACAGGTTTTTGATTGAATAACAAAATCTTCATTTTCTTCCACCTTATCATAGGCTGATTTATTTTGGCATCATATCTTGGAGCTGCTCTGATTTCAAAGTTCCCAAACATTATTTTTCATTTATCAATTAAATATACTCCAACTATGCTCTGACTTAGAAGGATCCCATTAAAATGAACCAGGAGCTGCTTGGTTTTAAATCTTTTGTTGTCCAATGCTATGAAGGGAAGGGGAGAAGGATGAGAGGCAGGAGTGTGTTAGCAGATTGAAGAAGGAGGTGGAGGGGGTTTGGATTGGATTAATGACCTTTAAGCTTTCTAATTATGGCATAATAATCTCTTTTCTACTTTTTTTCTTTGAAATCTTTACAAAATCAGACTCCAATTGCTACAAACCAACTGGGTCCCCAGTCACAGGTCACAAGCAAATCAACAGACAGCAAAACGCATGGAAACTCAGATTCTTGTCCTAGGTTTGCATGTTGTGAAGAGTCCACGTGTGGTAAAGAAAGGTCATTTTAAAGGGCCAGTCTTCCTTGCTCACTAAACAAGTAAGTAGGACCCAGGGCTCGGCCAGTCATTTGTCTTCGTCAGGGACATGTCATAAGCACCTCATTCCTCACTTAAGCTCAAAGATGGATGGCCAATTATTTAACCCTAGTGTTTCTAATTAATTAGGTCTCTGCCACCAAAGCTTTAAGTAGAGTAGTTTAATTTAGACTTTGCTCAGTGGGTGATATAAAATCAGTATTTATTACTATTTTTTTTTATCAATTTTTATTTGCTGTCTGACTCAGCTGGTCAAGGAGAACGACCCTCCCAGATTTTAAAAAGCGATTCCCTGTTGAAATCAGAAAGCATGGGATTTATTGTTAGGCAGTGGGATTGTTTACAACATGGGCCTGGCTGGTATGTGGTGGGCAAGAAACATCCACAGAAGGCAGAGAGGTCGTTGGTGTGTGAAAAACAAAATTCAGGCTGTTTCTTCCCAGAAGTACAAGGGTGGGGGTTGATCAAAATGAATACAGGCCACCTGTAGGCTCTGAATCCTCATTTACAGACTCAGCAACAAAAGACATTCTCTTTCATACTTAAAAAAAAAATTGGTGGGGAAAGATTTTTTTTTCCAAGACCAGCAAGGCAATAATCCTGGAAATATCCATCATTATCCTTAGTTAATGACCAATTTGTTAGTTAGCAGCTGTTGTTACTGGAATGGAAGGTACCTGGTTTTTAACAGCAATACTTCATCATTAGCAGGAGGAGAGAGAGCTTGGACAGCCAATGCCCTGGGATGGGGGCCATGTGGGAGAGTGGGCCCGGGGACAAGAGAATTATTTGATTACCAAGGGAGGCTCTGGAATAACCCTATTGGGGAATTCTTGAGAAAAGGGGAGATTGTTCCAGACTCAGATAACATCTACAAATGAGGCCAGGCAAATTTTCAGAAAGCTGTGGGCAGTATTTAGGGGCTCAGGTGCCCTCTTCTCACCCAAGTGAGGTTTAGTAACACAGATTGTCCCCAGCCCACTGGACAAACACCTGGAAGCCCAGTCATGGACTTCTCTCTTCCAGGGATAACTGGAGAGCAGCCTAAGTCATTCAATCAGAAAACACTTATGAACCCAAGCACTGATCTATGCACCTGAAACTTGAAAAAAATGAGAAGACTTTATGAAAAATTAAATCCAATTCTCTTCTTCTTTTATCTCGAGTAGGCTTATTTGATTTAGTTTTGATGCAAATACAAGTCTGAGAAGGGTAGTTAGATGTATGAAAAGTATTAAGTATGAAAAACTCACTCAGTTGCATGGGCTCTAAGTCTATATGACAATAAACGTCTAGATGGGGGGGTGCAGATGTTGAGTTGAATTTTTCTTTTTTTTAATCTCAAAGTTTGGTTCTCTCCATGGCAAACTCTGATTCTATGACAGAATTTTGAAGAGCTCCTACTAGGCAATGAAGCCATCATAGTGACTTGAATGTCATTTCACAGCATCATTGAAAGTGATGTAAAAAATAAGACAATGCTTTTTAGTGACTGAGGCCACTCATCTGCAGAGCAGAAATAGCGGTAACTGACATTTATGTAGTAGCTTAAGGTTTACAAAGTACTTCACAAATATATTATCTCATTTGGACTTCACAACAACCCTGTGAGAAGCAATGACAAATGTTATTTCCTCCAGTTTGCAGATGAGGAGACTGAAGCTCAGAAAAGTTAAGCAACTTGCTTGTAGACACGTAGCTAGAAAGCACCAGAGATGGAATTTGAACTCAAATCTTCCTTACCACAAGTCCAAAACTTTATTCCCTTCTCCATTCTAATGTATAGAAGAACAGTAACAGAGCAGCTTCTGGAAACAGAAGGATGTGCTTATAACAGTGAAATCAAAATAATAATAAATAATAGCATCTTAGAGGGCAGACAATAGAAAAGAGCCCTTCAGGGCCCATTCCCTCAGTCAATTGCCATGTGGCCCAAACTGGAAAATGTAATAAAAAAAAGTCTCCTTAGGTCAATAATGGAAAGTAGAGGGAGTAGTGCAGAATAGATGATTTCAAAACACATCCATTTTCAAAGTCCTCAGCCTCCCCCAAAACCAGTCCTCAGGTAGAGCCTTGACTGCATCTGTGTCTAACTGAACACAATAAAACAAGAGGCCAGGCTCCTTCCTCAGAAATGCCTTTCAAATTCCAAGGAATTTTACTACCAAGACCTAGAAACATGTGGGGAAGAATGGGGGCCTTGGAGATGGAGGAAGTCCAAACAAAAAGCAGAGACCTCAACTTCTAGCCAACAAGCCTAACCATCTGGCTTTGTAATTCCCCATCACCAAGTAAGTTTAGTCTATTAATAACAATAACTAGATGAAGACGAATAAATAGTACTGTTAGGGATACGAATTGTACCTGTCATGTCATTGATGTAGGAACTCTCAGGTGATGAAGCTGCCTCTTCCAGAGCAGAGCAGCACCTTCTCTACAACTTCTAGTCTTAGAGTAGGGGTTCTTAACCTGGGGTCCATAAGCTGTTTATGTATGTATGTATGTATTTATACATATGCGTATGTGTATATATGTCTGTATACATACACATGTATACATATATATGTATATGTCTATATATAAATATGTGTGTAATTGTATGTGTGTTCCAATATAATTGGTTCCTTTTGCGATCTTACATATTTTATTTTATGTATTTAAAAACATTCTGAGAAGGGATCCATAGGTTTCATCACACTGCCAAAGGGGTCTGTGTGATTCTAACACACACACACACACACACACACACACACACACACAAACACACAAGGTTAAGAGCCCCTGCCTTACTTGTAGAGATTAAATGCAGAGTGAAGTTAGCACAACCTGCAGCATAATTGATAAAATAATAGCAATAACATAAGGACAAACAGCTTTGAAAGATTTAGGACCTCTGATCAGCATACAATGACCGGCCACAATTCCATAGAACTCAAAATGAACCCCACTGATGAGGAGATGATGGACTCCAAACAGTTTGAGACTTTTTTTTAACATAGCCAATCCAAGAATTTGCTTTGCTTGACTATACATGTATGTTAGAAGGGTTTTGTTTTTCTTTCTTTCTCAATTGCAGGGATGGAAGTGGAGGGGGGGAAGATAGGGAGGTCAGAAGAAGAACATGCAATGCTGAAAATAAAATAAAATTTATTTTAAGAAAAGAAAGAACCCCAGTCTTAGAGAGTTGCCTAGGGTACTGAAAGGTTGTGACTTGCCCAGAGTCGCACACAATCTGTGTCTAAGGCAAGATCTGAATCCATTTCTCAACCTCCTATGTCATCCTTCCTCTAACTGGTTCTATTAATGAGAATACATTTTAAATTTTATGCTTAAAGATTATGGAGGCACATTGGGCATATTGGGGTTGGCTGTTTGGGAAAGGCCAATAAATCTGATTTAGATGACATAAGTTGTAAGGAGATACAGAGAAATGGGGAGGGGAAAACACTGCAAATGGGGAGGTATTTGTATGAGTCCCCAAATCCCCAGTTACATAGCACTTTATAAGTCATTCAAGCACTTTTAAAATCAATTTGATATGTAACTGGATGCTAAAGAAACCTCCCCACCCCCACCTTGACTATTCAGCATTCAAATCTGGAGATATAAAATCTGAGCTTTGGCATTTTCATGAGCTCTAGCCCATGCTGGGGTTCCCTGTCAGGAAACCCATGAAACAGGATCTTTTGGCAATCTAAACTGGCACAGGTAATAATGGGAGCTATCTACCCCCACCCCACCCCCACCCCCAGAGCTGATGGGAAAATCCAGGCTCCATTTCCTCAATGTAAAAAGTTAAGGCTTCTTACAGAGGGGAGCATTCCTCAAAGCATGGACTGGTAGAGTGAGAAGGAACCTTAGAGTTCAAAGTCTAAACTCCTTATGAGATACGGTGAGGTACCCAGGTCACACAACTAATTAATATAGTCAGTGCTAGACTAGAGCCCGGATCTCCTGATTCCTGGTCTACTCTGAACACCACCTGTGTTCAGAGGAGGGCAAAGGTCTGTCAGCACCCCATCGCCATTAATTTCATGGAGTAATTTTTTTCAAGGAAGATCAAAGAAGAAAGTTAGTAACTGCAGTCAAAATCTGCATTTAATTCTTCTGGGAAAGCACAATGGCTCTGTAGCTCATTAAAGGGAACAGAGATATGTTTGGGAAGCATTTCTAATCTTTGAGGATCTCATGGCAGGAAAGTGCCACATTTCTACAAAACATTCCTCAGAGCATCGATCAGAGACCAAACAATTGGGCTGGCTGGACCATTCATCTGAATTAGGTCGGGCGTACCAATGATATCTCTACAAATCAAACCAAAGAAGTTACTTAGAACGTTCTCCCTTCTCATCTCTGCCTCTTAGAATTCCTTGAAAACTCAGCTACAGTACCACCATCTGCAGGAAGTATTTCCTGGCTCCCCTAGCTACTAATGTGAAAAATGATTGTTCTTAGCAATCATTATCTTGGAAACGCAGAACTTCCCCATCCCCCTTTCTTTCTAAGTTCAGTCCTTCTTCAGAAGGACATTAAGATTTAATCTAAATAGGTCTATTCCTGCTCATTATGTTGCCTCCACAGGTCTGGGAGAATGTTAACTCCTCCCCATTGTCAAGACAGGTGATATGGAAATTAATGTCTCTGACCAGGATGAGTGACCTGGGTCACGTACTGAAAGACCCTCATTTTAATATGGCCCACCTCCCAGAGTTGATTGGCATCCCTTGGGAACACCTACTCTTCATAGGCATATAAGGCTGTCCCCCAAAAATCCCAATTCAAGCCAGTTCTGACCTGGCCCCTTTTAGCGGGCCCAGTTTTGAATTGAATTCCCATGCAATGCATGTCAAGCCAACTTGGGAGAAATTAAACTGTGGACACATGCACCTCAATTTTGTTTGTCTCTTTCTTAGAATAAAATTTGTAACAAATTGAGGTTCACATTAAACATTTTGTATATGTCTTGTGTATACCTATTTGTGTACCAGAT